AAAAAAGAGCAAACCCATTTAGCAGGAGAGGACAACCACAGAGAGATGCTCCAATAACTCTGGGAGCTGACTTATGAAAAGAGTCCTGCAGGAAGTTTGCAGTTTCGGTGTATTTGTCATGAGTTGAGTTCCAGGGAACCCAGATACATATTAGATTTTACTGAACAAACAGCGGAGAAGACTCTCTTTTCAGCTGCTGTTCTTAAAGGGAAGGCAGGAATCCTCATGATGGCGCTCCTCTCCTCGTTTTTTGAGTCTTTTATTTGTCATGCATGCTGTGTTTCCTTCACTTTCTGCCTTTTTTTTTTGGAAGTGCTTATGTTTAATTCACACCGATCAACAGGGGGTGGTATTGCGGGGGGCCGGGGCTTTGACGAAAACCAACATATATGATGAAAAAAATAGCAAGTTTGTTTGTCTTAAATACATTTTGGATACATTATTTGAATACTTATTATTATTATTATTTATTTTTATTATTATTTTTATTATTATTTTATTATATTATTATTTTTATTATTTTTATTATTATTATTATTTGTCACTTTAAATATTTTACTCCTTACTCTATTTTTGGCTTATTTTTAAATATTTATTTATTAAACCTACATGTTGACTTTGCTAATGCTCACGTGCTATGCTAATACCGTTTGGGTACTTGTCATACATGGCAGAACTTCATTTTACTTCATTTTCAGATCATGTCTTGAGGTAGTTTGCTAGTAATGCTCAAGCTAAAGTTGAATTCTGACAGTGCAGTCCATAAACATGGCAGACTGGTAATGATGTGGTTTGGGAAAGAATATATAGTTTCCTTTTCTTTCTGTCAATTGGAATAAAGTTGACTTTTCAAAGCCTGAAGTATTTTTTTTTTTTTTTTAACCAGTGTTTAAAATTGAGCTGAGGTGTCAAGGTTACTTTCAGTGATCGCTATCAATCACATACATTGTGCAAGAGAAAAATATTAAAGTAGTTCTCATAGAAGGAATTGGCTTAGAGTAGGCATACAACATTATCTGGTGAAAATGGAGTTTAACCTGCAATTCATGGAAGACTCAGGTTGGGGATTTCAGCCGTCACTGCAGCAGTTTCAAAATAATAATAATAATAATAATAATAATACATTTTATTTAAAAAGTGCCTTTCAGGACACTCAAGGACACTTTACATCAAATAATAAAACAGATAATAATTTAAAACAAATAATTTCAAAACAAAATCAACAGAACTTTTTCAGCCGTCACTGCAGCAGTTTCAAAACAAAATCAACAGAACTTTAGACTTTAGCAAGCTAGCCAGTTAGCTAGATAGATAGCTAGATAGCTAGAGAGATAGCTAGCTAGTTAACTAGATAGATAGATAGATAGCTAGAGAGATAGAAATTATGTGTAAAAACTACAGGTTACGTTTAGGTTTCTACTTCAACCCTTACCTCTATGTTTCTTACCAATTCTATCGATAAAAAACAAATCCCCATCTCCCTGTCACTTCCCATCATGCCAACCTTCTTTTTAAATATTTTACTTCCTGTGTCTCTGACTCTTTGTGCACTACTTCTCACTTTAGCCTCTGTTCTCCTCCGTCTCCTGCCCTGAATGTAAGTAAATATTTTATTTGACGAAAAATCCTACTCCTTTTGTCAGACTTTTTTGTCTCACACCTGCATGAATATGCAAAAGCACTCCTGTTTGTTTTTTTTTTCTTCTTTTCCTACTGAATCATTTACTCTCCTCTCCTCTCCTCTATTTGACCCTCATTTATTACTGGTTTTTATTTAACCTAAACGTAGGACCATAAACTAGATTTTTGCTTTTTTCATTTTCCTCAAGAGAGATGGTAAGTTAAGGGATTCTTAAGCTAAATGAAACTTGATTTAACGTTATGATTTGGCAGCAGCCGCAGTGCGTTCAGTTTAACTCCGAGCTCAGTTTTACTCAGGAGAACATTGGAGAGAAGGGAGAGGTCTATAATAAAAGCAGCACGCACGCTCTCACGCCGTCATCCCTCTGTTTCACGCTGTTTTCCGAGGGAACTTGATTCATTTATAATTCTCGGTAACACACACAGCGTGTCCTCAGATGGCTCACTGATTGCAGACGCCTTTGTAAAATGCATGACAGTATTAAACCTGTGTCACAGCTTCGCATTAATATTAATGTTCAAATTGAAAATTACCTTTTGTACACACTGGGACATTTTTATTGGCCTCGAAAAGTATGTGTGTGTGTGTGAGAGAGAGAGTGTGTGTTTATGTGATGTTATGTTTGTGTTTGTAAAAACAAGCACGCTGTTCCCTAAACGAAGTGCACTGTGGATAATGTGGAAATGTAATTAGTAAACGAGATGGAAATGCACGTCGTCTTCTTAGAGTTAATTAATTGTATTATTAAGCTGCAGAGCTCGCGCAAAAAAAAAAAAAAAAAAACACTGTCCTCTAGTGGCAGGACATTAATTGGGAAGTTTCAAGACGTGACATGGTCAATGTCATGTTTCCCTCAAATCATGAGCAAACTTTTAAAGTACAACGCTAGCTAAAGATGCTACTGTTACCTACAGTAAATGGTGCACAGGTGTACAGTAAAAAGCATCTAATTGGGACTTTGTTCGGCAAATAATAGCAAAGAGGGTCTGTTAATAATTAAACCAACTTTTATATTAGCATAAAATTTACGAAAGTGCAATGCAGTTGTGGCAAATGAAGTGTCTTGAGGATATATTTACAGCTTCATACAGATATGGAATGTCTACTATATGAAGCTAGGTAAAATTATTATTATTTAAATGTTATTATTGAATTGATATAACTTTAATAGCTAGTTGCATGACATTGAACTTGGGTACTTTGAAGTGTTACTTAAATGTAATGCATATCATCGATGCCAACAAATTACCTAAAGGGCACCTTGTTTGTCAGTGTTTGCGAACTAAATTGTTGCCCAGCTTAGCTAATAACCACGCCACATGCACAGAGGACGCAGTAAAAACACTTCACCCACCTTCATCACCGGCTGAGCAAAGTACTTGGCACTCCAGTCACACAGGCCCGTCTGCAGCGCCGCACTGATGTAGTTCCTGTGACCACCAGGATCGTCACCGTCCTCAGTGGCCTGTGCATCCAAACCAAAACATAGGGATTAAATATATACATTATAGACATATGTATCAGGCAGGAGCATACTGAGGGAACTGTATGTACATTTAACTTTAGGGAAAAGAAACAGGAATTGACAAAAGGCAACATTTCTCACAAAAGCAAATTGAGTCACATTTTCATTGACAATAAAGTAAAAACCGAGAGTGGATAAAGTAGTGAGCGTGCATGCTTTACGGGGAATTGAACCCTTGACTGTCACTGGTTGAATTAACAGTCTTTCTGTATGCAGTTCTCATGACGATGGTATATATATATATATATATATACATACATATATATACACATACATATACTGTATATGTACACACATATATATGTATATATGTATGTATATTTGTATATGTATATGTACAGTATATACTGTGTATAGATATATATATATATATGTATATATATGTATATATATATACTGTATATATATGTATTATATAAAATCCTCAAAGGAGTCTCAACAGTGGGCAAATGTAAAAGTTGCCAACACTGGTTGTAAACACTCCCCTGATGTTATAGACATTGTTGATACCAGTGCATTTTTAAAGAGCACAGACCAATGGGAACAGTACAATAGTTGGACTTTTTTTTTTCCACTACACTGTCAGTAAAATGTGTGTTTAAGAGGCTGGCGCAGATAAACTGAAGTGATATAAAATATAAAGTACAGAACAACGGGGACGACAAAGAGGCTTTTACTCCGACCGTGACTTTACAACACGGCACAGACAGTTGGCAGGAAATGCGTTCTACCTGCTCGGGTCCTTTGTCAAACATCTTGCGTGTGGGTCGGAACTGATGGGAATGAGGTGCCTGTCCTCCCAGTGTTGGGGTGTAGGGCGGTCTCGTGGCCGGCTGCTCTCTGGCCGGGGGTTTGGGAACGTCGTTGGTCAAACTGGAGCTGCTGGTGCTGGGCATCGGGGGAGATCCACTGGAGGAAGAAAGAAAAATAAAGAAAAATAAAGGACATTCATTGGTATATAAATCAACAACACACTCAAGGGGAGTTCAAAAAGTTCCTAAAAGGGTGTTATAAATGTAATCAAAGCAGGTTCTCGGGTGTCTCCAACAGTTTTATGATTATATCTTTGTCAAGTGTTGAACTCCTGCGTTCTGTTTTATTCGAGCTCTGGAAAAAGAAACTTAAATGTTAATTTGTCTAAATCATTGAAGCTTTGGAACAGGTCGGTGGTGACCTTTTTTTTTTACTGTTTTGAATAAGGGATTAAAGGAGGTGAGGCGAGAACTCCGAGACCATCTCTGAGGTCTCAGAGTTCAGGCAGTTTCACTGCAACAACTCATCCTCTAGAATTGTAAGAAGCATGAATATCTTTGATAGAAACACTACGTGCTTAAGTGTTTACGTAGAGAAGTAGACTTCCTGTACTCATAAATAATGATACTTTTTATTTGTCTTGAAAAGAAATGATTTACTTTACCACAGTGGTGCGGATATTGCTTTCGCAAAATCTGTTTCATATATTTTATTTCGGACTGATTTAACCCAGCGCAGCCCAGCTGTCAGACTTTAATCAACCTGGTTATAGATAACAAGCTTTAAAATGCTCTAAGATGAAATCTTAGTGTAGCAGTTAGCACGCCTGCCTCGGACGTAGAGAGCAGGAGGTCCTGGGTTTGATTCCCAGAGGAACCACATACTTGGCAGCCTGTTGCAGCTGATCTGCTGTTAACACAAGAACTGTGGGATCAAGTTTTGAGTATTATTAATAATTCATTATAAATATTATTATTTTCAAATTCTAGCAAACTGTCATCCTCATCCAGCATGTTTTTTTTTTGCCTTTCTAGATAAGACCCGGTGGACTAGTTTGGGATCATCGTTCACTTGCATCTCTGCAGTTGCGGACATGACGGGCTGAAATCTAGCCTCAAACTACGACGGAGCCGCTGTCAACATCTTGTCCATTTGGGACTTGTCACTTCACAAGTTGACCTTCAGTCTGTGTGTAATTCTGCATATTATATTATATTATATTATATTATATTATATTATATTATATTATATTATATTATATTATATTATATTATATTATATTATATTATATTATATTATATTATATTATATTATATTATATTATATTATATTATATTATATTATATTATATTATATTATATTATATTATATTATATTATATTATATTATATTATATTATATTATATTATATTATATTATA